TGGACGTGTCAGTGGATGGGTCTATGAAAGATGAGGTGAATCATAGAACTGATGAGGGGAAAAGGGTGAGTGGTGCACTTAGGAGTCTGTGGAGACAAAGAACTTTGTCCTTGGAGGCAAAGAGGGGAATGTGTGAGAGTATAGTTTTACCAACGCTCTTATATGGGTGTGAAGTATGGATGATGAATGTTGCAGCGAGGAGAAGGCTGGAGGCAGTGGAAATGTCAAGTCTGAGGGCAATGTGTGGTGTGAATATAATGCAGAGAATTCGTAGTTTGGAAGTTAGGAGGTGGTGCGGGATTACCAAAACTGTTGTCCAGAGGGCTGAGGAAGGATTGTTGAGGTGGTTCGGACATGTAGAGAGAATGGAGCGAAACAGAATGACTTCAAGTGTGTATCAGTCTGTAGTGGAAGGAAGGCGGGGTAGGGGTTGGCCTAGGAAAGGTTGGAGGGAGGGGGTAAAGGAGGTTTTGTGAGCGAGGGGCTTGGACTTCCAGCAGGCATGCGTGAGCGTGTTTGATAGGAGTAAATGGAGACAAATGGTTTTTAATACTTGACGTGCTGTTGGAGTCAGGGCCAGATTACCGCAATGGCAAACTAGGCATTTGCCTAGGGCCCTGCACATTTGGGGGCCCCGCAGTCCAAGGGTTTCAGGGGCTCATCCAAGACTGCGTACATGGTGGTAATATAAATACCATTGTGCATTGTTCTTAGACTCAGTATGATTTCTGTTTAAGTAAATTGGAGATCAAGGAGGATGAATTAGTAAATATATTCGTAGCCCAAAATCACTAACCTAATCTATGGTAAAAGTTCTGTATATGACTCCTTTCTGGTAACGTTTTGAATTTTTAGATGCGCAGCCAGAGGAAAAGGGGCTACAAGGGCCATATCCCCCCAATTGACAGAAAAAAAAAATTTAATAATAATTAAAAAATTAATAATAATTGATAATGAAAAATTTGTATTTGCATGATTACAGACAGTGATACATCCTCATTATGGCATCTCGTGAATGTGATGTTGGACGTTCTTATGCGAGTGGGTCACAGAAAAGTAAGAAGAAAATTCAAGAAGAACAGAAAAAAGAAAGATGTGGGAAAAGCTGCAGAAAGATCACAGACATGCTCACGAAAACAGTTTCTGATGTTACCAGTACATTTGAATCTGCAGATACGTCAGATCATACAGGAAGCCCTCCCTCCATTATTTCTCAGCCAGCATCTACTTCTTTTGTGTCTCCTCTCAATGTCTCAACAGACATTTCATCCACATGTTTTGTCTTAAAAGATCCTGCCTCATGGCCAAATGTAATCCCAGATTCTCTACGTAATGCTTTCATTGCAGAAAACTTCAGTCAAACTCTGAACATTGACTTAGGAAATCAGCAAGGATTTATGATGATGGAAGATCGTCGTTGTTTAAAGTCATCTATTTTTTAAAAAGGAAGGCTGCAAATTCAGAAACTGTGAAAAGATCATGGATGGTATACTCTGAAAGCTCAGGAAAAGTGTACTGTTCAGAAATGCAAGCTATTTTCTACCAAAGAAAATACCTTCACACAGGGGTTCAATGACTGGAAAAATTCCAACCCACTTCGAGGAACATGAAAACAGCACCACTCACAGGAGCTCATTTTAGCTTATTGGATTCTCATTTGGAAAATCAAACTGAAAAAGAGCACACTTATTGGAGAAAAGTTCTAGAAAGAGTTGTTGCTGTTGTAAAATTCTTAGCTCTAAGAGGACTTGCTTTCCGTGAGAAAATGAGGTTTTTTGGTTTGGAAAACAATGGCAATTTCCTAGGGGTCATAGAACTGTTAGCACAATTCGAACCATTCTCAGCAAATCATGTGTCACGCCTTGGAATGCAGGAAGAGGCACTGTATCTTACATGTCATCTACTATATGCAATGAATTTATTGAACTGATGACTAAGAAGGTCCTCAATAACATCATAGCAGCTGTGAAAACTGCAAAATACTTTGGAATAAGTGTAGATTCAACACCAGATATTTCACATACAGATCAATTGACATTCATTGTTCGCTTTGTCGACTCCAGTGGTAAGCTGTAGAGCGCTTTTATAAAATTCATTCCTCTTTCAGGCCATGATGGAGAAACAATGATGAATGTAGTACTGGATACTCTGCTTGAACATGATCTCTCTATTATGGATTGCCGTGGCCAGAGCTACGACAATGCAAGTAACATGTTGGGTAAATATAATGGATTGCAAGCCCGTATCAAGCAAATCAACCCACTTGCTGAATATGTGCCCTGCTCAGCACATTCTCTTAATCTTGTTGGGTCATGTGCTGCGGAGTGTTGTGTCGCTGCAGTTTCATTTTTTGGACTTTTACAAGCACTCTTTAATTTTTTCTCTGCTTCAACGCATCGGTGGAGTATACTCAAGTCAACCATTCATGGAGATGTCATCAAATCATTATCAACAACAAGGTGGTCAGCGCAGCATGATGCAACACATGCTTTGAAAGACAGCTTTGCTGAAATACGTTCTGCTTTGATCCAAATAGCAGAGGATGAAGACCAGACAGCAACTACAAGAAGCGAAGCAGCCAGCTTAGCATCAAAATTGGAAGATTTTGAATTGGCCTTACTCTGTGTGCTTTGGGACTGTATACTGGAACGGTTAAATGCCACGAACAAGACACTTCAGAAAATTGAAATTGAAATGGCTACTTTTGCTAACCTCTATGCAGGCTTAGTGGAATTTGTAAGCTCACTTCGCAATGATGAAGCTTTTGAAATGTTTGAAGAGAAAGCTAAACTGCTGGTGAAAGACTACAGTTACCGGGCTGATCATCAGCGGTCAAGGAAGAGGAAACGCAATTTTGAAGAGCCAGACAATGAAACTGTGTTGCTACCAAGACAGAAATGTAAGACAGCTACATACTTCGTCATTCTGGATTCAATGATTACAGAATTGGTGAAAAGAAAAGAAATCTACCAGAATCTCAATGACAAGTTTGGATTTCTGTTCAAAATTACTACTATGCCAAATGCAGAATTGAGAGAAGCTGCATTAAAGTTGCAACAACACCTTTCAGCAGATGTTCAGGACACATTTGTTAAAGAAATAGTTAATTTTTCTGGGTATATGAATCAGATTAAAGCTCCACCTGAAAAATGTGCGCCCTCAGCTGCTTTGAAACATTTAAGAAATGCAGGTATCTCAGAAACCTTCCCTAATGTTGACACAGTGTATCGCCTTTACCTAACACTTCCAGCTACTAACTGTGAAGGAGAACGTTCATTTTCTGTTTTGAAAAGAGTGAAAAACCAGCTTCGTTCAACAATGAGCCAAGACAAATTGTGTAACCTAGCCTTGTTGACCATTGAGTCTGATCTAACAAGAAATATTGATTTTCAGAATATAATTGATGATTTTGCCAATATGAAATCCAGAAAAAAGTTTATTTAAGAAGTGCCTGTGAATATAAACAATTCTTTACTTTCTTGAGTTTATATGATTTGATAGTCTTATGCATGATGCAATGATAACAATAATGGTCAGTGATTTATAAAGGGAATAATAGTGCTCTAGTGGTTATGCTGAATATAATAGGTACATGATGTCACTACTTTAATAGCCTAACCTAGTAATACTATGCTGTCTTGAGTTTATTCTCTTTAAAATGCATGATTTAACAAGATAGTTATAATGGCTGTTGGTAAATGGTTTTGGTTGTCTTGATGTACTTTCCCTATTAAATTTAATCTAAATAGCCAGAATGTATTTAATTAGACCTTAAACAGGCTCACACCAACCCCCCCCACCCCCAAGCTGGAAGGGGTCGCTTCGCTTACCCGTAACTCAAAGGGGCCCGGCCAATCTGAATAGCCTAGGGCCCGGAGACTTTTTAATCCGGCCCTGGTTGGAGTGTGAGCAAAGTAACATTTATGAAGGGGCTCAGGGAAACTGGCAGGCCGGACTTGAGTCCTGGAGATGAGAAGTACAGTGCCTGCACTCTGAAGGAGGGGTGTTAATGTTGCAATTTAAAAACTGTAGTGTAAATCACCCTTCTGGCAAGACAATGATGGAGTGAATGATGGCAAAAGTTTTTCTTTTTCGGGCCACCCTGCCTTGGTGGGAATCGGCCAGCGTGATGATAAAAAAAAAAAATCCTTGAAGATGTGAGTAAATGTGATGATGACAGTCTTGTGGCTCTCTCTGAGACAGAGAGCTAGACGGATAGACAGGAAGCTTGGTAGACAGACAAATAGACAGAAATGTTTGTGTACCAGCAAAAACAAAGTGAGGGGGATGGTCATCTATCTTTTCTTATCAGCTGCACCCTCCCCAACCCTCGTTGAAGCTCATCAAATGTCAGCTCTTATCAGATGTTATCTCCCCTTATCTTGTCACTGTCATGGGGTGGACTTTTTTTTTTTCTTGCTTCAAGGGAACAATATTATTACATCTTCTTCTTCTTCCTCCTCCTCCATTGCTTTTGGTCTCAAACTCCTGGACATTATGAAATTGATCTTCACTGACACTTCCATCTGTGTTAGAGCATCACTTGGGAAGAAAAGAGTCCCAGATTTGCTGGGGAGTTACATATTTCTTACCACTAAGCATGCTGAAAAAGGAGGACTGAAATGGCATTCCCACAATGCACCACTGGCTCCCCAATTTTTTTTATATGGTGCACACTGACCATGGAGACCCATTCTCTCACATGTGGGCCTACCAGCTTTCTCCTGCTTGATTTGTAGCCCCTAGAATTTATGCATATCAATACATCAGAAACAGTGGTACATAAGATGTATTTATACGGCATAAACAGTCAAAGGGTTAATAGACACTCAGACAAACTTCCTCCCTCATTACTATATTCAGTACCAACAAGTGCATCGATAAGACACGTGTAACACCTGGTTACTTCACTGGAAAAATCTTTACATGTGTTTCACCAGTGTAAAGGTCCACTCCGAGGTTACTTGGTAAAGGTTACAGATTATGAGTAAAAATATATATTGAAGTGCCAAGAGTGTAATATTTTTATTTTCAGATATTTTTGTAGAATAATCATCTGTACTATAAATAATAGTTAATGTTTAGTAATTTGCTAGAGCACTGTTAAATAGTCTATCTATTTACAATAGTATGCTCTGCAGAGAAACACAGTCCAGTTTTACTAAATTTCGGGTAAAATATATTGGTTTCTCAAATGTACTCTACCAATTTTGACTCACGTAATCAAAATAACATGATTGTAAACAAATCATAGAGAGGGTGGGGTTCTAACTTCCCCAGTTCCATGTATTTTCTAGCAATTTTGATTCCATGTTAATATATGCTTATGTACAATGCATAAAATAAAGCAGAATAAAAATAAAAAGTACAGTAAATCCTCCATATAATGGACCTCTGTAGAACAGACTTTGGAAATACAGTACAAAATCTGCTGGGTGAATCATTTTGGAAACAATGGATAAAGTCCACTGAATATATAACTGTTTGTCACTGTTACAATCATGGAAAAAAATGTCTTCTCTCTCCACTGAAATTGCCATTTGTAGCCCCAAATTATTCTGTTATATGGAGGGTTTACTGTAAATGATTAACAATACTCTTATTGCTAAACATAATGAGAGAAAAATTGGGGGTCTGCACCTTGACAGCAACCTGAAATTAAACACCCATATCCAACACACAACATAAAAAGTATCCGTGAGAATAATAACTAGACAAAAGAGCTGCAGAAAGAATGATCACACAGTTCACTGCTCGACAACAACCTCTTCCCCAACTCTTCAAAGACTTAAACCTACTCACTATACCAAGCATTCACTCTTGCTACTGTGCATCTTACATTTACAAAAATAAATTCAAACATTAATCCCATAAGCAATGTATGTCCTTTTATATTCACTTTTTAGGCCTAGATTTACTGCTCACTTAATATATGGTAGTGTAAACATGTTATAGACTTTTATACATATTTGAAAGTGAAAAATACGATGTTTCACTTTACAACAGTAGCCCAGAACCTGCTGTACAAGAAGGGCCTGCCTGTATATTATACAGACTGACATATATTATTACTTTACTGGCATATATTATTACTTAATAGAAAGCTCCTTGATATGCAAAACATTGTGAGCAGCTTTAAAACTCAAATATGATTACAATTCATAGGATGGTTATAGGGTGCATAACAAAGATATTAAACTTTCTTTAGTACACTACTTCCTGATAGTAATAACAATATCTTGATATTTTGGAAACAGCGAGAATGGGATGTTTTGCGGCGACAAGTCAATCTGTTTTGAGGTTGGTGGAGAGAAGCTGAAGTTCTGGAGCAATGCTGCTGAGAAGATAAACAACTCCATCCTGGCCAAAGACTCTCCCAGACACTGCCGTCGACCTGGTGACAAATTTGGTGTGTGAATTTTAGCATTACAGATTAGAAATAGAGGCTCAACACTGTGACTGGAATAATTCAAAAATAACCTGCACATAGAAGAGAGCAGCTTATGGTCCTACTTGGATCATTTATAAGTCACATCAATACAAAGGTGCATTAGTGTAACTTGTCTCCCTGTCTTATATATACTGACTCCCTCACCTTCATGTGTCAATATGACTTGTAAATGGTTCAGGTTGGACTGAAACATCATTATAAGCTTCTCTCTGCTATGTGCAGGTTATTTGTGTATTACAAATTAGGCCAGATGTAGAAAAGAGATATTTTTGTTTTTCTACCTCAAAATGAAAAACACGTAATTTTTCTTACAATCATGTACAATGATATATTTAATCTACTTATACATTCATTATATACTCAATATTATTTGTATACATTTAATGTCCCTAAAAAATATATATATGTATTATTTATTGCCATCATAACATTAAGTTAGGGTTAAGTTTGCCCAAAATGCTCTACATAACTATGGGCTTTCTGCATGCATTCAAGTCTTACTCATTCCTGTATATATAATGTTCATATGCAAATAAGCTTCAATTTAAAAATTTGGACTCGCTCATTTAACTGCTGTCATGCCAGAAGTGTGCTGAGGTCCCTAATTCAGAATTATTACATTTATAATAATAATAATAATACTAATAATAATAATAATAATAATAATATTTTATTTCTGCATGATACAATGGTTGTACAGAAGAGAATGAACAACATCAGGTGAACATGCTGAAAGCCCTGGTATATGCAGAGCATTTTGAGCAAATTTAAGACTAACTTAAGATTAAGAGGGCAATAACAATAAGTTATATTTAGGAGATTACAAAGAATACAAGATAACTGAATATCCTATTAGTTCATTCTAAATGACTCTAATATAGTGTAATGGTGAGACTTACAGGTTTGGGAGGGTTACAGAGTAGGTATATTTTCTTTAAGATGTTTTACATATGTTCATGACATTGAGAATATTCATTTATAGTTTTTACATATTTAGCTGATGCTGAGATATGCTAGGGAGATAAGGTGCTTTTTAACCATAGTTTTGAAGATGCTGAGTCAGCAGTTCTGGAGATTTCTGGGCCTTTTTATGTACATTGAATTTTTGAAGAAATTTAGCCAGGCTCAGGTAATGTCATAGAGATAGAAATTTTTGTGCCTAGTATTATGTCTAAAGGTCATTCTGCAACTATCAGGAAAATGCTTCAGTTTGGAATTCATATTAGATTTTATTGTTCTGTAAATGTAGGTTGCACAGTAGTAAGAGTGAATGTTTTATTTAGGTCTTTGAAGAGAGAGTGGGAGGGGTGTTGTCTAGCAGGGGACTGTGTGATTATATGTCTAGCAGGGGACTGTGTGATTATATGTCTAGCAAGGGACTGTGTGATTATATGTCTAGCAAGGGACTGTGTGATTATATGTCTAGCAAGGGACTGTGTGATTATATGTCTAGCAAGGGACTGTGTGATTATATGTCTAGCAGGGGACTGTGTGATTATATGTCTAGCAAGGGACTGTGTGATTATATGTCTAGCAAGGGACTGTGTGATTATATGTCTAGCAAGGGACTGTGTGATTATATGTCTAGCAGGGGACTGTGTGATTATATGTCTAGCAGGGGACTGTGTGATTATATGTCTAGCAGGGGACTGTGTGATTATATGTCTAGCAGGGGACTGTGTGATTATATATCTAGCAAGGGACTGTGTGATTATATGTCTAGCAAGGGACTGTGTGATTATATGTCTAGCAAGGGACTGTGTGATTATATGTCTAGCAAGGGACTGTGTGATTATATGTCTAGCAGGGGACTGTGTGATTATATGTCTAGCAAGGGACTGTGTGATTATATGTCTAGCAAGGGACTGTGTGATTATATGTCTAGCAAGGGACTGTGTGATTATATGTCTAGCAGGGGACTGTGTGATTATATGTCTAGCAAGGGACTGTGTGATTATATGTCTAGCAAGGGACTGTGTGATTATAATGTCTAGCAAGGGACTGTGTGATTATATGTCTAGCAGGGGACTGTGTGATTATATGTCTAGCAAGGGACTGTGTGATTATATGTCTAGCAAGGGACTGTGTGATTATATGTCTAGCAAGGGACTGTGTGATTATATGTCTAGCAGGGGACTGTGTGATTATATGTCTAGCAGGGGACTGTGTGATTATATGTCTAGCAGGGGACTGTGTGATTATATGTCTAGCAGGGGACTGTGAGATTATATGTCTAGCAGGGGACTGTGTGATTATATGTCTAGCAGGGGACTGTGTGATTATATGTCTAGCAGGGGACTGTGAGATTATATGTCTAGCAGGGGACTGTGAGATTATATGTCTAGCAGGGGACTGTGTGATTATATGTCTAGCAGGGGACTGTGTGATTATATGTCTAGCAGGGGACTGTGTGATTATATGTCTAGCAGGGGACTGTGAGATTATATGTCTAGCAGGGGACTGTGTGATTATATGTCTAGCAGGGGACTGTGTGATTATATGTCTAGCAGGGGACTGTGTGATTATATGTCTAGCAGGGGACTGTGTGATTATATGTCTAGCAGGGGACTGTGAGATTATATGTCTAGCAGGGGACTGTGTGATTATATGTCTAGCAGGGGACTGTGTGATTATATGTCTAGCAGGGGACTGTGAGATTATATGTCTAGCAGGGGAACTGTTGATTATATGTCTAGCAGGGGACTGTGAGATTATATGTCTAGCAGGGGACTGTGTGATTATATGTCTAGCAGGGGACTGTGTGATTATATGTCTAGCAGGGGACTGTGAGATTATATGTCTAGCAGGGGACTGTGTGATTATATGTCTAGCAGGGGACTGTGTGATTATATGTCTAGCAGGGGACTGTGTGATTATATGTCTAGCAGGGGACTGTGTGATTATATGTCTAGCAGGGGACTGTGAGATTATATGTCTAGCAGGGGACTGTGTGATTATATGTCTAGCAGGGGACTGTGTGATTATATGTCTAGCAGGGGACTGTGTGATTATATGTCTAGCAGGGGACTGTGTGATTATATGTCTAGCAGGGGACTGTGAGATTATATGTCTAGCAGGGGACTGTGTGATTATATGTCTAGCAGGGGACTGTGAGATTATATGTCTAGCAGGGGACTGTGTGATTATATGTCTAGCAGGGGACTGTGTGATTATACATCTAGCAGGGGACTGTGTGATTATATGTCTAGCGGGGGACTGTGTGATTATATGTCTAGCAGGGGACTGTGTGATTATATGTCTAGCAGGGGACTGTGTGATTATATGTCTAGCAGGGGACTGTGTGATTATATGTCTAGCAGGGGACTGTGTGATTATATGTCTAGCAGGGCACTGTGTGATTATATGTCTAGCAGGGGACTGTGTGATTATATGTCTAGCAGGGGACTGTGTGATTATATGTCTAGCGGGGGACTGTGTGATTATATGTCTAGCAGGGGACTGTGTGACTATATGTCTTGCAGGGGACTGTGTGATTATATGTCTAGCAGGGGACTGTGTGATTATATGTCTAGCAGGGGACTGTGTGATTATATGTCTTGCAGGGGACTGTGTGATTATATGTCTTGCAGGGGACTGTGTGATTATATGTCTAGCAGGGGACTGTGTGATTATATGTCTTGCAGGGGACTGTGTGATTATATGTCTTGCAGGGGACTGTGTGATTATATGTCTAGCAGGGGACTGTGTTATTATATGTCTAGCAGGGGACTGTGATTATATGTCTAGCAGGGGACTGTGTGATCATATGTCTAGCAGGGGACTGTGTGATCATATGTCTAGCAGGGGACTGTGTGATTATATGCACTGCAGGTTTTTGCTGGGTTATTATTGGCTTTAGGTGAGTTGCTGTTATGGATCCCCAGCACAAATGGTATAGGTGAAGTAGGAGAAGATCAGAGAGTAGTACAGGTCCTCCATCACAAATCCGGCATCATTGGGACCTGTAGTGTGCCATATTGCAGAGTGGTTAGGTTAGAATACACTTATTAAAATTAACCAACTTGACTTACACAAAGTTCATTGAACATCGGCAAAAATTGAGTATTTCCACTACTTTGAGCTCAATTTCAAGGTACTTTTCGTCATGAAAGCAATCAAAATCATGTCTATTTCTGTAATATATCTTCCATTCTATCAAATGAGTAAAAAAAAATGACAATACAACCATAAAAACCATACGAAAATACACTGCAAAGAGGCGGCTAATGGCTGAGAAGTGAACTCCCTTATTATCGTCCATATTTTTATTTTTGTTGTACGTTAAGAAGCATCTTTCCATCATACATTGCCCAAGTTTCAATGAGATAGCCCAACAAACAAAGAGGCGGCTAATGGCTGAGAAGTGAACTCCCTTATTTATCGTCCATATTTTTTATTTTTGTTGTACGTTAAGAAGCATCTTTCCATCATACATTGCCCAAGTTTCAATGAGATAGCCCAACAAGCAACCGAGGAAAAAAAAATATTTACCAAAAATCATATAAGATAAGATAAGATAAGATTTCGTTCGGATTTTTAACCCCGGAGGGTTAGCCACCCAGGATAACCCAAGAAAGTCAGTGCGTCATTGAGGACTGTGTAACTTATTTCCATTGGGGTCTTTAATCTTGTCCCCCAGGATGCGACCCACACCAGTCGACTAACACCCAGGTACCTATTTGCTGCTAGGTGAACAGGACAACAGGTGTAAGGAAACGTGTCGAAATGTTTCCACCCGCCGGGAATCAAACCCGGGCTCTCCGTGTGTGAAGTGGGAGCTTTAGCCACCAGGCCACCGGGCCAAGCCCAAGCCAGGTACTGGAAACAAGTCACTTTGTCTGACTTTTCTGGGTTATCCCAGGTTCTCTATACATACACTGCTATGTATGATAATCCTATGTAACTGTATTTGTGTATACCTCAATAAACTTATTCACTTCTAG